CTAATGCAAGTCATCAAGTCACTTGGTGCATTAATAATTATTTTTCTTATGCTTCTTGTTAGGTACTGATCATTTATAAAACATGATTGGCAGCTATAAATTGGTTATCAAGTTACAAACTGTTCCTGGAGGAGTTCTGTGTATTGGGTTTGTTACATGGCTGATTTCCATTCTTGGAATTCTACAAATCTATCATGACAGTGATAGACTTAACTTCAATTGCAATCCCAAACCCAGTGATTTTATCAGGCAACTTTGCTACAACAACTACATTTCTGCAATAACCAAGCCTCATGGGTTAATACCTCGGGATGTTGTTGGCATAACACTCTTAATTGTGTGTGGAACCTACAATTACCATATCAATATGGCGGACGGTCACGTTTTTAGAGCTCTTAGATGCTGGATCATTCTGCTTTATTTCTACGTTTGTTTCTCTGGTGCACTCCTTCCCAAGGCTAATCCTGACCTCGATATATCTGGTGATACTCTTCTCTTCATTTCTCACGGTCTGACGACAGTGAGAATTCAACCTTTTAACCATCGGTCACCGAGCTCGCAACATGCAAAGAATCTCCAGTTGCCGAATTCAAGACTTCTACTCCTTGGATGCCGTTTTGCGATTAATTCCTCTCTTTCCTTACTACTCATTCGTCTCGCAAATGATGTTGAACTTCAACCTGGTCCTGTTGGCTCCTCTAGTTCACATGACATCCTGTCTGATCTTCGGGATTTGTCAACGAAAAATGGGCTTACAATTATTCATCAAAATATCAGAGGCCTCGTGGCGAACAGGGATAGTCTATGCCAAATGATCGATGATTCCAAGCATATAGACATCATATCCCTCAGTGAGACTCATCTATCGGACAGTGAAGAGGCTCAAGTTCAACTGGATGGCTATACGTTCATTAATAGACCAAGGAAAACAGGCAAAGGTGGAGGTGTGGGAGTTTATATCTCCTCTTCTGTCCCCTTTCATAGAAGACTAGACCTGGAACGCGATGGGATCGAATGTATCTGGATAGAAATTCTATTTCCAAAATCTAAGGGTATCCTTATTGGTTTTATTTATCGCCCCCGAGTTCTTCAAAGCATCTTTGTGCAGATTTTGAAAATAAACTGGAGTCGATGCTTTCTGCTGTATCATCTGAAAACAAAGAATGCATTTTGACAGGCGATATCAACTGCAACTATTTGGTAAGCTCAGACAACAAAGAACTGAAGGCAATGCTATTGTCTTTTGGCCTTAAACAGCTAATCAAGGATCCCACGAGGGTAACGCAAGATTCAAAAACACTGATAGATGTGATTTACACAAATCGCCCTCAGAATGTTTATAGTGTTAAAGTCATTCCCGCCGGCTTAAGTGACCATGATATGATTGGTTGTGTCCGGAAGCTGCATAACCATAAATTCCAGCCAAGAACCATCACCTGTCGAAACTATGCTAACTATGATCCTATATCCTTTTGCAATGATTTACGGTCCAATAGTTTCACACCTGTCTTTAAATCCTCCTGCGTTAATGAAGCATGGTCTTTTTTGAAAGCCATTCTGAAAGAATGTATTGATAAGCATGCGCCAGCTATAAAGAAGAGGATCAAAGGGAAACTCAGCCCATGGCTTACACAGAAGGTAAAGCAAGAAATGAATACCAAAGATCAGCTTTTGAGAAAAGCGAGAAAGACAAATCGTGAAATTGACTGGTCTTCGTACAAGCGCCAACGAAACAAAGTTAACGGTATGGTAAAAAATTGCAAAAGCAGGTATCACCGTGAACTCTTAGAGGAGACTGTGGGTTCACCTAACAAATTTTGGTCAGCTATTAAAAAACTATACCCTACAAAGTCTACAAAGGAACCAGGAGCAGCTTTTCTCGTTAATGAAGCAGTAGAAACCGACAAAGAGGTTATTGCAAATTTGTTCTGCAAATTCTTCACTGATGTTGCGCGATCTCTAAAAAGAAAGATCTTCCCTCTTTGCAATTTTGTCTGGAAAAGGCCCCTTACAATAGACACCCAGCAGCCGCTAGAGAACTTTGAGTTTAGATCAGTCTCGGAAAAGGTTGTCTTTAATGCATTAAAGAGCCTTAAGAGAAATAAGTCCTCTGGCCTTGACAACTTTCCTTCTGGAATGTTAAAGGACTCTGCTGATATAATAGCCAAGCCTCTCACGCATATAATTAACCTGTCTCTCGCAACAGGGTCTGTACCTACTGACTGGAAAGCGGCTAAAATTGTACCACTTTTTAAATCTGGTTCAATGGCCGAAATCGACAATTATAGGCCTATTTCAATACTTCCTTCAATGTCAAAGATCCTGGAGAAAGTGGTATTTAAGCAGCTGATGGCTCATTTTGAACAGAATGGTCTACTTTCTCATTTTCAGTACGGCTTCCGTCGCATGCGCTCTACTGAACTGGCCGTTACTCATCTTACCGATGTTATCAGAAGAGAAGGTGAGAATGGTAACCTGACAGGCTGTGTTTTCATCGATCTATCCAAGGCGTTTGACACCATCAGTCACTCTGGCCTCCTGAGCAAGCTTTCAACTTACGGAGTTCGTGGAACAGAACTCGCATGGTTCACTGATTACCTTTTCTGCAGATCACAAGTTGTCCAATATAAAGGCGTGCTATCAGAACCTCAACCCATTCTCACAGGTGTTCCTCAGGGAAGTATCCTGGGTCCTATCTTATTCATTATCTTTTTCAACGATGTACATAAACCGCTTCAACACTCGAAGATTATCACTTATGCCGACGATTCAGTCATCTATACCTCTTCTAAAGATATTGATACTATACAGAGAAGCCTTAGCGAGGATATGAATAACCTGTGCGAGTGGTTTAAAGACAACGAACTGATCATTAACCTAAAAAAGGACAAGACGGAGTCTATGTTATTTGGAACAGCTAAAAGAATCAACCTTCAAGACAAGGAACTTAAACTTTCTGCTAATGGGTCACTCATCAATAATACCTCTACCTATAAGTACTTAGGTGTTCACCTTGACTCATCACTAAACCTCGCATCACATTTTGACCGAATCTATAAAAAAGCTGCAACCAGAATCAATCTCTTGCGATCAATTCGTCCTTTGATCGACCAAAAGTGTGCAGAATCGATCTATAACACTATGATCGCACCTATCTTTACCTATTGCGGAACACTTGGTCTTAGCTTTCCGGATTACCGAAAGGAAATGATAAAGAACATCGAACGACGAGGCTTTAAAGTTATCGGCAATAGTTCTTTTAATCCCCCATCCGTGAACAATTTGATCAAGCGTAAAAGCTGTCTGTTTGTTTTCGACTGTCTCCTGAATAATGTTTGCACACCCTTTAAGAACTACTTCGAAAGGCTGGTTCATTCTAAGGCCACTAGGAATAACGGTATATCAGTGAAATTACCCAAAGTTCGTTTAGAATTTGGTAAAAAGAGCTTCTATTACCAAGGAGCAAAGACTTTCAACAACCTGCCTGCTGAACTAAGGTCGTTAGATTCGAGACTGAAATTTAAGAACAAATTGCGAGATTATTTTAGTTAAATTCTATCTAAACGTGGTTATAGGTATCCTTTTCAGAGCATTTTTATTTAATTTTTAATTTTTTTCATTTTATTGTATGCTTTTCTAGACCTTAAGATCAATGATTATATCTTGTTAAATTTTATTTTATTTATTTATTTATTATTTTTGACAGGACCCCAAGGACAACAGTGTTACACACTGATGGGTTTTTCAATCCTGTATAAAAATTCGTTATTATTATTATTATTATTATTATCATGTTTGCAATTTATGGCGATGTGACCCTTCGAAAAAAACCAGGATACATGAACGAAAACACAAATACATTTCTTTGGATCTACTTCATCCAAGTAGGCTTTCGAATATTGTTCCTGGTTTCTATGTCAAAGCTGGTCTACAGTTATGAGAAAATTGTTTTGCCAGAGTTTTTCGAATGTGATGTTAATCAGACCAACAGTCAAACCATGCCAAGTCCACTCAACCAAACAAAAATAACATTGACATGTCATGATCTTCATCACGATGAGAAATCAAAGATAAATATAGCTTATATAGCTGTTAATGTCTTGTGTATGGTGTTAAGCATATTTGAAGTCCTACACTTGTGGTGTAAAAGGGAAACATGTCTGCAGCATTTGATTGGAGACCTTGAAGACTTTAAGGTTGATGACTCACCGCAAAGTAAGTAAATACCGTAAAGTAGAACTGCTAGCAATTACCAAAGCCAAGACACTGGTGTAGAAATGTTAGTCAGCTAAATAATTATTCCAATTACAAAACAAAAGAAAGGTTTTGCATGAGCATATAGAAGACAACCCACAAAAATTTATATAGGGGAGGGGGAAGGAGTGCTGTTTGTTAGTAGATTACTGTAAATGTCCATGTACAAGCCGCACCCATGATTTGGAAGCACAGAATTTGGAAAAAAAATAAAGACAATACAGTTTGAAGTTTCAGTAGAGTTGTATTGCTACAAACAATCACGGTTTCGAAACACCGACATAGAAGTTGTGGCTATCTTTCACATTTATCAAGTCTAAAGAAGGCAAAATTTCATTTGTCATACCTTCTTTTTTATTGGAATTTACACCATCTTTAACTTAAAATGCTCTTTCGATCTGATTTTTCAAGATTAATACTTCGAAACACGCCATGAGTTGAAATTCCTTCGGCATTGAAAAAAAAACAAACAAACAAACAAGTGCTCAGTAGCCAAGCTTTAAATGTTGGGAGGAGTCTGGGCCAGGGCCTGGCCATCGTTTGGGCATAAATAGAAAGCACATGCACTGATGCAATCATTTCAGTTTCTATTTCATTAATTAATATTACAATACTTCAGGTAATTTATACTGATAATGCAGTCGACAAATTTGCCATGAAGGTAGTAAAAAACAACAAGAGATTCCTTGTATGTTGGTGTTTAGTTGTTCGAGTAAAGCGAAAATTGGTTGCTTGAAAGAACTCTTGGAGAGCAAGATTCGCCGATAAACACTTGAAGACACAAACGGCTCCTTTAGGAGCCAGCACTCAATGAAAAAGTCAATGAACTACAGCAACATGCTCTCAGTTTCTTTTATGTTTATTTCTTGGCATCTTAAGAAGTTTTATGAATATTAATTAGGTTTTTAAGAAATCCAAACACAGATGTATCCATGGACAAGCCGCACCCTTGATTTTTGGCTTCAATTTTGTAAAAAAAAATTGCAGCTTATACTTGGACGTTTATGGTACACTCCATAATTATATTCTAAAGAGAGTCTCATTGGTACTGTTTGGTTCACATGGTCAAATTCATTACTGGAATCAGAAATGTGGGGTCTGATCTTTTATTGCTAAGAAGGTCACAATTATACACCACAAAAATTTACTTGTACCTTTAAAACTGGTTTGACTCTATTAACTTTCCATATACTATAATTGACATCTGTTTACTCACTCGTGGGTGACGGGTTTTGGTGGTCACTTAATTTTGGGACGGGAATGAATCAACCAGTGAGTTGGGTCAGAACAACTCAAACTGGGTTTAAATCAACAAAGTGCAAAACATCCACGGGTATGACAGACTAGAGAACGAGTTTGGCAGATCATTTACCAGTATGTATGCTTATATGAAACTAAAATTATTCAAAACATAACTTTTAAGCTAATCATTTTATTGGCCTGACATGTTAAGACCCATTGCATTCATATTACTTGTCAAAATGATTAAATTGACTTGTATTCATGTTTTAGTTACAATAAGTATTTCATATTTATCACACACAAAGTTTAATAGAGGCATCATTTTGAACAGGTTTACCTGAGAAACCAACCATCACAAATACAGAAATAGAAGTTGACAAGGATTTCATTGTTACCTGGTCAGAAGCTGAGGCCAACAACAGTAATTGTAGCATTGAATACCGTCTGGAATGGAGGAAACAACCAGTGACAGGATCCACAGAAATGGCTAAACGAAATATTGTGGGAACTCGCTTCAAGATAACTGGTCTTGAGTATGACGCAGAGTATGAAGTGAAACTGTTTGCTGTCAACAAACAAGGAGACAGTGAGCCAGATGTCAGAACATTTAAGACAAAGAGTGGTATGTACCTTTATTTAAGACTTCTCACTTTACTTTTGGTGGAATTGTTTGAAATGAAATGAATAAACAGTTGAGTCCTGAATACAGGAGTAACACTACTTTTCACAAGGTGAACCCAGGTAAAATTATAAGGTGAGATCCCGTCTTTTTCAGGTGGGATCCCAAGTGAGATCCCACCTGGGATTATGGACCATCCTGCCAATTGAAGTTGGGATTCCGCCTTAAATTCCTAATAGCATCACACCCGGGAAAGCACATCCCAGGCAGGATAAAACCTAGAATCCCCACCTAGAATTCCTCTTGGGATCCTGCCTTAAATTTCAGATAGTTTCCCACCCGGGAAATCATATCCAGGTGGGATCGCACCTGGGATCCTGCCAATCCCAGTTTAGACTCTGCATAAAATTTCAGATGGCTACCCACTTTAAGAAAAAACCTTAGAGGGATCCTGTCTAACACTGGAGACCACAGATTTATGAAATGTAACAGATGGAATATCTTATCAATCCCTTTTGTCACCTAATCCTTCAAATTAAGTGGACAAAATTTTCTAGGTGAGCTATATAGACCCCATCAATCCACTGAGGGTCCAAAACTTTCCAACAAGCTCTAGAACATACTGACACCTTCAATAGGATCCCATTATCTTACCCAAGCTGTTGATCATAAATGATTCAAACAATACATGAGTACACAGACTATATGTGATAAAGATCTCATAATTTATTTGCAATGAACCAGCGTGTTTTTGATATTGTTTCATGAACAAATTTCTTAACCGAACATTTTTAAAGAATAACAATACAACTCAGCATATTACTTTTTCTTCGTCATTTATGCAGTCCATTTACAGTGTAATATGGCTCAACTTTAAAAAAAATGGCCGTTGTATATCAAAGAATAGAAGAAAGACAACACCTCAATAATTCATGTTGTCAAAAATTTGACAAAGAAGGTAGTGATTTAAATTCAGCACTCTCTTTAGTCGAATATTTCAAAGCAAAGCAAGGTCAGAATGTTCCCGAACGTGACTAAAGTAATCCTGAAACCTTACTCATAGATTTATTTCATTGTAAAGTGTAAGCTTAGGAAACTGCAGCATGAAAGTGACCAATTCGATTCGCAGAATTATTCGAGTTTCAGTTGCGCCGTGCGTTAAGTAAGCTTAATTCAAGCTATATCTATTCTTCGGTAAGATTTTGATCACGTAACGAATATCGTAATTTGTACTCACCACAAACTTTCAAAATCCTAGCTTTATAAATCGTTCGTTGTTTGTACCAGTCGATATGTCAACTGTCAATTGTCCCTTCTTTTAATTCCACGGCCACAGCGACTTTCTTTTCACTTACAACACTCACGCTGTTCTCGTTTTCCCATTGAACCACGATAAAACCCATCTTTAGAAATGTTGTATTAAGCAAAACAGTTGAGAAAAGAAACAACTTGAAGCAAGAGCGATTAACCGATGAAACGTACATTCAAAGATGAGCGCTAAATGGAGTTTTATTTGTTTCCGATCACGGGCATGATCACGTGGATTTTTTTTAGCGAAGAGAATCCGCTGGCTTGACCGATTGCAGTCTCAAGGGAAGCGTGCAAAATCAGTTCGTATTTTCTGACCGGTTCTTTTCTTTTTTTTGAATGGTGGATACCTTGAATCCATGTTTTGACGATGATATGAATAATGATGTAAATTCACTCTATGTAGAAATAATCGACAAGAATCGAAATAGAATGCACGATTTGTGGCCGATAGTTGTCGAGGAAAGATAGACTCAAACCCACTTGAGTTATGTTCACGGCAAAGGTGAGAAACAACACAAGCCAATCACAATTTTGAATGTGATTACAAATTGTGCTTTACCCTCATTTTTATAAAAGAAGGATACCACGTGAGGAAGTATAAGAGATACCTAGATGATCCCAGTGTACCAGTACCCAAATCAACAAGGCTTGACCGTAACAAGCGTTCAGCAACACGTCCATCTCGATTCTTTAGTCGGTCTTTCCACTGAACTAGCAGTGGTGCCAACAGAGTTAAATGCGTCTCATAACGGAGAAACATTTTATCAGTTAATGTGGGCCTAAATGTTTGGTAAAATTTCCGCACAGCCCCATACTACATTATGCATTCAGTTCTTGAATAGAGCAAACAATGACAAAAACAATACATTGCCATTGGGAAAACAGATTTGTTTTACAATAGTATGGGGCTGTACGGAAGCTTTACCAAATGTTTTATGCAGGGTCAAGGATGCATTGACTTTATTATTATTTATAACTGGTTTTCTTTTCTTTTCCTTGTTGTGTTTTGATTTTCATTCAGATCAGCTTATAACTAACTTTTAATGAATGAATAGAAACAAAAAAATTATTGCATTCTTCTTTTTCAGGGACAGTTATAACACCAAGGGAAAATAGATCATCAGCAAAGAAAAGCAATGCAAGCCCACCTGAACTCAATATTGCACTTAAATCGATGAGTAATCTTCCTGAAACCTCTTTGAACTGGAGCAATGTTGAACTTCCTGTTGATATTCTTTTATTGACAGTGGAGGAATGTGAGTTCTTAAGCTGCTTTGCCTACCTGAAGGAACCCTTTAGGAGTTATCACACCAGTACTGGCTTTGTGTACTTTGATCAAAGAAAGGATTTGAATATCGCATTGATGAGGTGTGACAAAGGTCCTACTCAACCTTGGGGTACTTTGTCTGCTTCAATGAAAGCCATCTCGACACTGAATCCCAAGGTTATTTTTTCTGTTGGTGCCTGCAGTGGTTTGAAAAAGGTCAAGTTAGGAGATGTTGTTGTTTCAGCAAAGCTGATAACAGCTTCATTCAAAACTCCCCTTAGCGGAGATATTGGTAAGCTGATCCCACATGTGGCTGCTGGGTGGAAGGCACCCGTAAAAAATGCTAATGAATGTAATGCAGAGTTGCACTCTGATGGAGTGGTTCTGAGTGTCTCAGGGGCAAACAGAGATATAATTGGACAACATCCTGAGGCAATTGCAGTAGAAATGGAAGGCGGAGGTGAAGGTGAGAATCGTAATAATTCAAGTAATTGATGAGCCAAGAATGTTTGCACATGTAGCAAGTGTTGTGGAAAACACTGCTCTGGTATTGTCTCTGCAGGTCCAAGAAATAGTATATACCATATCGCATGCCAAATTTGCAGGAATTATGTATTGTGTATTTATAGTGATTTTATGTTTGGCTGGGGTAGGAAGATTTTTTTGCAGGTGAAGGTGACTGAGATTTCTTCTGGATAGCTGAATTGAATGTGGTCCATCAGGACGTCATGTAATCTGAAAAATGTAGAAAGTATCTTTTTAAATAGGTTGAGAAATGAATAGTATCACAGTCCCTGTTAACCCTTAAACTCCCATGAATGACCAAGACAGAATTTCTCCTTACAGTTTCAATATGATATTAAGCAGACAAGTAATGGGAAAAGAAAAAATGTCAATTAGGGGATTGTTGGTTGATTCAAAAACAAATTCTCCCAACTTACATAATAGGAATTGTATGACAGACATTAAAGAGAATTACTAAAGAGATCTTAGGAGTGAAAGGGTTAACTCTAACTGACAAAAGTTTGTCTTTTGAGAAATGTTGAAAGTTACTTATGAAACAAGGTGAAGCCTGAAGAATAATTTCAGTCTGAGATGGAGGGTGAATCTTTGAAAGCTTTGATTTAACAATTATTTTAAGGATGCATTAAAGAAAATAAGCTAACATAGTTAACAGACAGGAGTGGTTTTTTTTCAGGAGTGTTTGCAGCAGCCCATATTGCTAAGATAGAATGGGTGGTAGTCAAGGGCATCAAAGACTTCGCAGATGAAACACAGTCTTCAAGTAAGAAATGGAAAGAAGTTGCCTGTGTGATGGCAGCGTCTGTTGTCGCCAAAATTTTGAATGATCCAGTCATATTCAAAGATTGGCATCACTCTAATAGAAGTACTGCTTCCTGAAATAGAGGTTAATTCGAGAATTCTCTTCACCTTTAACACGTGGACGTTTATTTAAATGCCGTCGGCGGCCTTCTTTCAGTAGTTCTAGTTTTCAGCTTCATAGAGCTAGCATATGTGTTTTTGATAAACTAAGTTTCTTAGCTATTAAGAGAGCAAGGGGGAACTGATCTGTAATATAAGTAGACACGCGATCGTTCGTTTGCTTGTTTTTGAAAGCGCCAGGCGTACCCCCCGTGTGAGGACTGGAACGAATAATAAAGCTTTGAGTTATGAGCACATGGAAAATGGTATTTCTGACGATTGAGTCTGCGAATAAGGCAGAAATAAATATTTTGTCGGCACGAGATACGACAAGGCCCGGGCCTTAGGCCCGAGCATCATGGGTAATGATGCAGCGGTATATAAGGGGGAGTATAGCACGTGGCGTCCATCTAGGCCTCAGAACCAACCGTCCACCTCTGACTGTTGACAAATTTATTTTAGTTTGAAACTTATTTTCTTTAACTGTGAAGCCTCGTAGGACGGGCTGCCAACTGCTCTGAGTGTGGGCCATGGTTCCTACCCAGATTTCCTGTCATGTTTTTTCCCCAAAGGGGTTTTTTTTCTGGCAGGTTTTTTCTGGCCTCCGTATAACCGTAGTAATGTCCTTGTAAGCGGTTGCCCACCTCTGTTAATCCCGACTTGGTGAAGTGTGCATGTTAGTAATGTATACCTATTTTGAATGTGTAAGGAATTGACTTTATATCAGGATTGTATATGGTATATCAGTTGCGAATGTATGTATGCACGCCTCGGGCTATATGTGCCTCGGGTTGGTTCTCGGCAGGCTTCCCTAAATAAACTTATTTGGTGTACACTACTGTGTTTTTTGTTGTGTAGTGGAGACTAAATATGTCTGAAGTGTGTTTTAAACCGGGACCCAGATAGAATTTCCCACGCCTAGGAATCTTCAATAAGTAAAGACTATTTCTACTCCAGAACTCGAGTACAACTTCGAACTTATAGCCCCTTTTTCCTAAAGTCGCGTTTTAAACCAACTAAATTACAAAGTATCTTGAAAAGTCAAGTACTTGGCCCCACGTGGCAGCGCTCAGTTTTTAAAAGAACCCATTTAGTTTTTCTGTAGCCTTCTATCTCTTGTAATCGTTTATATTATTGCTATCGCTTTAGAACAATTTGAAGTACATGTATCCTCTCGTTATTATTGATTTGTATGTCTTTACAGATCAGCCAGAAACATTTGTTGCGCTGCAATTATGATTAGAATGTTCTCAATTATTGATTTGTGCATAGTTAGTAGAGGAGACTACTAACTATGATTTGTGTTGGCTTCTGAAGGCCAACACTTTCTCCTCCTGTGACTGTTGTCCTCCCCTTGAAGGATGACTGTCTTACTTCGTCAGGTGTGAAGGGTTCATAAAATATCGCTTTCGATCCCTCAAGGGGCTTTGTTGTGTTCATAATAATTCCTAAGAACTGGTTCTGCAGATGAAAAAAGATTATTTAAGTGAGACAGCTGACTTCACAATTGACTCCACAGCTGCAGATGTTAGCAGACTTTTCTCATACTCTAGTGCCTGTGCTTTTGTCCCAAGAATTGAGTTCATAGAAGTTTCCGTGATACATTAGTTGGTTTTCCCGCAAATCGTGCGATTACCCATGATGCATTCACCTTTCTGACAAAATCCCGCTTGAATTAATGATGCAAGAAGTCGAATTTTTCGAAGTAAAACAGGGTCAGAATATTCCCAAACGTGACCAAAGTAATCTTGAAACGTTACTAATAGATTTATTTCATTGTAAAGTGTAAGCTTCAGATACTGCGGCATGCAAGTGACCGATTCGATCCTCAGAATTATTCGATTTTTAGTTGTGCCGAGCGTTATGTAAGCTTAATTCAAGCCATTATATCTATTCTTTGGTAAGATTTTGATCGCGTACCGAGTATCGCAATTTTTGCTCACCACAAATTTTAAAATCGTAGCTTCATAAATGGCCACTCGACCCTTGTTTGTACCAGTCGATATATCAACTGTTCTCCCTTCTTTTAACTCCCGTGAGTGACGGCGCCAACGATCACACTGTTCTCGTTTTCCCTTCGAACAACGGTAAAACCCATCTTAAGAAATGTTATATTAAGCAAAACAGTTGAGAAAAGAAATAGCTTGACGCATGAGCGATCAATCGATGAAAAGTACACTCAAAGATGAGCGCTAAATGGAGCTTTCTTTGTTTTCGATCACAGGTATGATCAGATGGATCTTTCAGGAATTATTTTGGCATGCCGAATTGCAGTATCTAGAGAAGCGTGCAAGATTTGTATGACTTCTCTGACCGGTTCTCTGCTTTTGGACGATGGATACTATAGATCCATGTTCTGACGATGATAAAAGCAAGGATGTGAACTCACTCTATGTAGAAATTATCGACAATAATCGATCGCACTACAAATCAGGGCACGATTTGTGGCCGAAAGTTGTCTAGGAAACAAAGACTCGAAAGCCACTTGAGTTGTGTTAACGGCAAAAGTGAGAAATAACACAAGCCAGTCACAATTTTTAATGTGATTACAAATCGTGTTCTAACCTCATTTTATAACAGAAGGATACCACATTAGGAAGTATAAGAGATACCAAGATAATCCCAATGTACCAATACCGAAATCAACAAAGTTTGACCTTAACAAGCGTTCAGCAACACGTTCCAACATGGCCATCTCGATTCCTCAGTCTGTCGTTTCCACTGCACTTGCAGTGGTGCTAACAGAGTCAAGTGCGTCTGATAACGGAGAGACATTTGTACAAGAGACAAAAGCAACTAAATGCGATTATAGAGGTGCGTTAGAATTCTGGTCTACAAATGGTTATGCATAGTCCCAAGTTTGGAAAGGGGTGTTGAAAATGAAGATAGTAGGTTGTCTTTTAATACTACAAGTAAAATTTTATACCAGACCTACAAGCTATAAAACAATTTTGTTGATAGCTGACTCAGAAAAAAATAACAAATAAGCTTTAGAGCTGTTATTATTGAAGTGTGACTTGTACTTTTCATTTGTATATAAAGAGGGGCTTGAATTTGGCACTAAAATTAAAAAGAAGTAATATTTTTAGGAGTTCCAGTGATCGGGACATTTAAGATATTAAGTTATGAAAAGAAACTCGGTTTGTACTTCTAACTACTAACAAGTCTTCTTTTAAATATATTTTAGATGAGAGTTTCAAATAAAACGAATCGGAGAATTCATTGAAAAGGTGTTACATCTCGAAGGGAAAAGTGACCACCCCTGTCTTGTCCGCATGCCAAATGTTTGCGGAGTGTGCGGATTATCCATAAGTATTGGAACTTTTGGTTTGGCATGATTGATGAACAGGAGAGTGCTAATTCTATTCTTGTCGTTGGAAAAGCTGGGATTGGGAAATCCCTGTTTTGCCAAAAAAGAAATCTTAAACTTCTCCTCGGTACTGGATGACAAATGTAACATTGATGGCACTTCACTTGAGTACATTGTAAAGCATCCCAAGGAAATTATGATCATCCTCGACGGCTACGATGAGTATTCATAGCAAGACTACATCGCTGGAAACTCAGAAGAACAGCATCCCAATGACGCTAGACGTAAAATGCCGGTGGCCGCATTGTGTTCAAAACTCATCAAAGGAAAAATCTTTAAAGGGACTATCGTCATGATTACCTCGCGACCTGATGAATCGGACGAGATAGGAGGAATCCGTTTTAAATGATACGTGGAAATTGCGGGATTTTCGTCAGAACAAGGCAAAGAGTACATTGAGAAATACTTCAAGAAAAACGGAAATATGAAGACCGCTGTACTTAAACATGTCATGAAGAATGAGAGCCTTGTCAGTTTTGCTCATATTCCTATGCTCTGTTATCTGTTGTGCTTCGAGATGGAGTATACCCTAGCCGAATCAGAAAATCCTGATGACCTTCCTGTCTCAACAACTGACATTTATACCAAACTTGTTGATATTTTTGAACTGAAGCATTGCACCGAGTCAGAATACAAGCAGAAAGCAAATCCTCCTGTCATTAAGAACACTTTAGATAAATTGTCAAAACTAGCGGCGAAACTGTTGGTTGAGAGAAAGCCAACTTTTGATAAAAACGAGATGGAAGGCGATTTTAAAGTGGAAGAAGTCAACAAACTGAAAGACATTGGTCTTCTTTACTGTGGTCCGCCCCTCAGGACTGCATTGATTAGAACCACGAAACGCTTTAGCTTCACACATCTGATCGTCCCAGAATTCTTGGCCGCTCGTTGGTTTGTAAAGGAAAATCGTGTTCCAGAGGAGGAATGCTCTACAATGGTTTTCCAATTCATGGCCGGCGTTTTGTCGAGTGAGGGAAACGA